TGGGGAGATTAATGTCTCTGTACTGACTGACATGCATGGCATTCCCTTTTGAAAAAGCAATGTAATACACTGTAAAGTTATATGTAATCCAATGTAATATAAAGAGGATTATGATGATAATAAAAAATAAAATTAAAAAAATATATGTTATTGATGCCAGCAGATGGCATAGTGGCTATACTGCTGAACTCCCACATGACTGACTGTAGTTAGAATCTCAGACCCAGTGACTTGAGTGCTGGACTCCCACATAGCTGACCGCTGTTCGAATCCCAAACCTGGTGGCTTGCTTCCTTGCTCCCTCCTCCCCTTTGCTCTGTTCCTCTCTGGTCAAATTAAAATAAAACAATAAATAAAGTTAAATAAAATATTTTTAAAAAAATAAAGAAAGAAAATCATGCCAGCTGTGTGTGTGTGTGTGTGTGTGTGTGTGTGTGTGTATGCCCAAGATCCTAGAGGGAGAATGAGGGAGAGGAGAAGGGATTGCAGTGTGGCTATCCCCCCTGGGGGGTAGTTTTCATGTTCCCTCTCACTGTCTCTGACTGTGTGTTTCTCTTTCTGGCAAGTACACATGCCCATTGGCATAAACCTCTCAAAAAATATAAATATATAAATAAAATAGGGACCAGCAAGTGGCAAGGTGGTTAAGGGTGCTGGATTCCCACATGACCAACCGTGTTTGAGTCCTGGACCTCGTAGCTTGCTTTCTCACTTTCTCTCTCTCTCATTCTCTCTCTCTTATGTCTCACTCACTCTGTCCCTCTCTGGTCAAATTAAAATTCATAAATAAAGTTAAATAAAAAATAATTCTTTAAAAATTTAAAAAATAAGTTATTTATGTTAGCATGTAGTTGACTTACTACTATATTAAATAAATTATTGTACATCTATAAAATATGCAGTTTAAATTGAAATAAATTACCAAATAATTACTTTATTGCTAGTTTTAATTTATGGTATATTGAAAAAAAAATTAAAAAGGTCTTTGGAGTCCAAGGGTAGGTAGAGTTCTATTATGGTCCCCAAATCTCCCACATCCTTATGTAGATACATTGTAAAATTCTCTCCCTTTGTAGGTAGGTAGAACTGTGAGTAAATTACAACTTGGCTGACTTTGAGATATTCAAAAATGAAATTATCTGGGTGAGACTGACTTGGTGAGGTGAGCCGTCAGTAGAGATTGAATCCTTCCTGAAGTCAGAGAGATTTGAATCATAAGAGGATCAGGTAGGGGTGGAGGATGCATGAATGAATTTGAGGGCATTTCCCCATCAACAACCAGAAACCAAGTGAGGACCTCAGCCATGTGAACTCTGTCCATGCACAGTGAGCATGAAGCTGCTCTTGACACACTTGAGACTCTCAGATGAGAACACAACCCAATAAATACTATGAACTCAGTCCTACAAGGAGCCATTCCAAATGTGCCTAATCTCTGATCAGAGACTGAGATATAGCAAATCTGTGTTAAGTCACTAAGTTTGGCTACATAGCAATAGAAAGTTAATATAGGTTCTCAATTATTTTTGAAAATATAAAGCTTCTAAGGTGAAAAGTCCTGAATTGCTTTCAAAGAGGCTGAGACACACTGCTGATAGAGGTTTCATTGAATAACACTGGCTAACAGGGGTATTAAGACTATTATACTCTGGTGTAACTTCTAAAATATTTAAACAAGAGAGAAAAGGAACTGGATGGTAAAATCTTCTAAAATTTTAGAGAGCACCACAATTTGAATACTGTATTAAATGTTGCAATATCTAATATGACATATCTATTTCCATAATTAAGAATATTTGAGAAGTTCATCTGTTAGCGCTAATTTTAAAAAGTCAACAGAAATAGAAAGAAATTAGGTATCAATCATCAGGTCTTAGGGTCAACCAGATGATATAATGGTTAAGGCTGCTGGATGCCACATGGCTGATTGTATGGTTCATGTCTTGAACCCAGCAGCTTGAAAACACACTGCACACATGTGAAGGTGTGCTCAAATCTCAAGTAGGGAGTAAAGAAGAGGGGATTGTGGGGATTATAGTAGAGTCAATGCCCTGAAGTGGGCTTCCTTATTTCTAGCTCTCCTTCTTGGTCTCTCCCTTGACAATGCACATGGCCCACAGTAAAAAAAAAAAAAAAACAAGCATTTGGGGAGAAATAAAACAAACATTCAGCTCGGCCATGAGAGCAACAATAAGCTCTGTGTCAACTTTCCCAACCACATTGACCACATGCACAACATAATGCAGTCCCCTGGTACAGATTTTGGTCTCTAATAACATCTCCACTAAAGGGTCCCAGGACTCCTTGGAGAACAGCTGATTCCATGTTCAAATAAGGAAATCTCAAGATGAACTTACAACATGCTGTCTTTATGAGAAAACAAGGATCATTTCAAAGATGAGGGAGGGTCGAAATGAAGAAACTATGCAAAAGAGACTCCCTATGGCCAAATTGTGACAATCAAAATTACAATCATTAATAAAAACGCATGCATGAACAGCAATCCATGATTTTGGTTGGAACACTGGTTCTGGAAAAAGTCACACATCCATGATGGCATCCAAAAGAGACAAATAACAAACTGATGGAGAAGCTCATAATCAGCAATGGAAGCCAATGAACAGCTAACAATTTACAAAACAATTGTGAGTACCAAGACAATTAGATACATGTGGAAAAGTGGATGCAGGATTGTTGTCCCCTGATGAAACTCCATATCAAAACCACCAGAAAAGGGTATGTGGTTTTTTGGGTATGTGGTTTTTTTTTTTTTTTTTTTTTTTTTTGTTGTTGTTGTTTTTGAATAGCAAGGCAGGCTTTATTCACTATTTCTGCAACAGGGGATAAATACTGAATCCTACTCTACTGAAATAAAAAATTGGAGGGTTTGTAACTGCGGGGGCAAACTAGTAAAAAAGTACTAGAAATACTAAGCTGTAGGTGGATCACTGGAATGTGCTAAGCACATTTAGTTATTACTAAATTTGTCATTTTTTTTCATTTATTTTTACATTTTTCCACAAACATTTACTTTACATAGCAAAAAATTTTAGCTCATACTCCATAGTATGTTAAGTTAGAGTCAGGAACACAGACTTTCTAGAAATTTGGAAGGATAGAGGCAGGCATATTCTTCAAGGAAGTATAATCCTAACTTTTTTTTTTTCCCCAAGTGTAGTGTTGTCTTGTGGCTAATGAGTTTGATTTAAGAATAAAAAGAGCCTGTAGTTAAATGTAAAAAAAATTAAAAATGAATAAGTGAATGAATGAATGATACAGAAAAAAAGAATAAAAGAGCCTCTTTTTTTGGTAAACATTGTCTTAAATAGACAGCTCTTGACTTTAAGTATAAATTCTTCTAGGATGGCAATGTGAACTGTAAACAGAGATACATGATTGAATGTTTAAAAGAAATACAAATTAGGGACCAGCAGTTAGCATAATGGCTATGTCACTGGACTCCCACGTAGTCGACCGCGGTTTGAGTCCTGGACCCAGTGGCTTAAACTCACACCAGGCCAAGATCCCGAGAGGAGAATGGAGGAGAAGGGATTGTGGTGTGGCCATCCCCCCTGGGGAGTGATTTCTCACTTTCTGCCCCTCTCTGTCCATCTGGTGAGCATACACGCCCTATAGCAAAAATCTCGCCAAAAAAATAAATAGAGATTAAAAATAAAATTTAAAAAATGAAAGTCTAAAGCACCATAAATATCCATCTAGAAGAGAGGAGCAGCAATAATTGGGCATCCCTTGGGAATTAGAGAGAAAAGTAAAAAGTTATCCTAGGCTGGCAGAAGCCCCATGTGCACCCCACGTTCAAGAAGTTCATATGTTTGTGTAAGTTTTTAAGATATTATTCCACATTGAAAGTGACCACAAGGGTGTTGGCTGAGAGTTTAAAATAGGTAAAAGGTAAATGCTTCTCATTCCTTCTCCTCATCACCCCAAACACTGGCTGTAATGCTGGAGTCTTCAAATCACAAAGTGATGTTCAAAGGTGATGGATGTGTGGGTGATTGGAATTAATGTGGGGAAGGAGGGAATTTACTAAGTTGAAGAAATATAATACAGAGAAAATTCATCACAAACTCAGCGACCAGGTCATTAATCATCCAAACCAGGGCAGTATTCAGAGTGATATGGACTCATTAATTATTCCCCTTGAAAACATCCTTCTGGAAGGTCTGTCTTAGGGAAGCAGGGACAGTGTTCTCCATGACTATGAAAACTTTGAGCTATTGGAGAATAGTGGTTACTCCTAAATTATCTTTGTGTTCCTGAAGAAGAGATTGTAGTACATGTTTAATTAATATTTTTTTATTGAAAGTCGAATTAATATTATTATCAAAGGCAGCTAATCATTCTTTTTTTGTCCTTTTCCTTTTAAATTCAGGTTTATAATTACTAAGCTGTGTATTTTATAAACTTTACACTGGTAAAACTACTTGTTTCTATGCATGATAATTTCCTGTGAACAATCAACCAAAGATTGTATATTAGACATGTCTGAATCAAATGGTACTCTGAACAATACTAGCATTGTTTTACTTTTCTATTTATTCATATTTATTATGAAATTCTCTCAAAGCCTTAACAGCTTATCTTGTACCTAAGAGAATAATCATCTCTTTTCAAGACAGTCATTATTTGAGAACACAGTATCTTCAGCATACATGCTATTTTTCAAGATCCTAATTAGAACTTTTGAATAGCCAGTGTATGGAATAAGAGTTATTTTCTGAAATATAGACATATATTTGTTTTTGAGCTAGTTTAAAATATTTGAGAACTTTAATATTTTAAAGTTTATAAAATATGATCATTAACAAGAAAAAGATATTTAACATTTAATCCAACAATCATACATTTTAACTACTGGGTCATCAGAAAAGTCATGACATATTTTTGCATAAAAAAATATATAAGGACTTTTCTGACAACCTAATAAGTCACATACAGAAACATGTCCACTATCATAGTGAAAAGACATGACATTTGGTTATATTTTTAACCTAAAAACCTATGATAGGTTATAGTACCATCGAAGGTGAATGCCACTGATTTCAGTAATTTAGAATTCCTCTGTACTAGGGCATATGTTTCTTGTCACTTACCTTGACAACTTGGTAGCTCTTCTTCTATGCTCCATGTTCCATTAGCTTGGCATTGAACCAGTCTTCGGCCCTCTAAATAATAACCAGGGCTGCAGCTGAGCAATACTTGAGCTCCATATTCATTCAGTGATCCCGAAACTAGTCTCCATATAACATGTTCTGTGAGCTGAGCTTCAATGCTAGGGCAAGGTACCGCTAGAAAAGAAACACACCTAATATCAGCACTTTTTTTCAAGGGATAAGATATGCTTATTTTCTTTCTCGCCAGCAGTGTAAGAGGGTTCCTCTTTCACCACACTCTCGCCAGCACTTATTTATTTATTTTTTAATCTTAGTCATGCTGACAGGAGTTAGGTGGTATCTCATTGTGGTTTTGATCTGCGTTTCCCTTATAATGAGGGATGTAGAGCATTTTTTCATATGCCTTTTGGCTATTCATATATCATCCTTAGAGAGTGATTTTTTTTTTTCAACTCATTCACCCATCTTTTAATAGAGTTGATCATCTTTTGGTCCAGCCACTGGGGAGAACAATTTAGAGATTCCTTAAAAATATACAAGTAGAAGTACCACATGATCCAGCAATCCCACTCCTTGGTGACTACGCAAAGGACAGAAGAATTCTTAATCATAAAAGTGCTTTCACATTGATATTTATTACAGCATTATTCACAATTGCTAAGACATGGAACCAACCTAAATGCCAACAAACAGGTGAATGGATTGAAAAACTGTGGCACATATACTCTATGGAATCTTATACTTAAGGCAATACTATGCAGCCATAAAAATCAAGACCATGGCTTTTGACAGAAAGCGGAAGAATATGAAAGATTATTATTGAGTGAAGCAAGCCAGACTATGGAGGAGAGACATTGTATGTCTCCACTTAATATATACTGAGTGTCCACACTCTGTGACTGAAACTGAATCACTAAAGGATATAGAAACACAGTAAATGGTTGTGAATACAAGATATAGGATGAGAAGAGGGTGGGTGAAGGGGTAGAGTCTGAGGAAGGACATTAAGGAGAAAAATAGAGAGGAATAGCATTAATGGGACAAAGAAATAGGGTATTATCTGTTGAAGGTAACTTTATAGTAGTATTAACTGGACTGGGGAGAAATGTACACATGTTGGAATATTCACTTTGCAAGCTAAATAATGTGATTGAATGTATAAAAGAACTTGAAATAAAATTTAAAATATATAGATAGGCTTATTTTCAATGGTAATGTCATGCTACATGAAACTTATCTTTCATTATAATGTAGATGTCATTATACCCCATTACAGGGTATCTCCCTACCTACACAGTTACATAGGCATTATCTCACATGGATAATGAATCCAATTGCCTTATTATAGATGCATTAGAAATCTTGCAGTCGTATTGAGATGTAAAGGGGAAAAATCACTTACACAGAGGTGTTTCAGTTTGTTTGGAAATGATGGATGTCTTTATCCAAGTATTAAATACATGCATATAAAAAGTTTACATAATTTTTATTTGTATATTCTCTGAGGAACCTGGAGTAGTAACTGTGTAATGGACAACCAGCTGGAATACTAATTTGCAGAAAGTCAGGTGTTCTCATTCCTTCCTCTATACAAAACACACATATTAGGGTACTTCAAAATAATTCATGACAGAAGTGATTAAAGTTCAAGTTTATTTTAGTGCAAAACTTTTTAAATCCATGCACAGTTATTCCATAATACATATTTCCAAAAAACTTTTTGAAGACTCTTTATATAACATATCTATATATTACTGGACTTATAAACATGCAAAAATACATAGGTCCTCTGTACTAGCACTGTGTAGAAAAATGATTAACAAGCCATAAAGACAATTATCTATTCATACTTTTAGGAAAAGACAGGGAATATAGTAGCTACTTATTAAGGAGCAATGCTAACAATCATAATAGCAATAATAGCAGCAATACTATTAGCTGTAATAGGGCAATATTAGTGGGTGAATATCAAGGGTTTGATAAAAATGCTAAAAAGATATGCACAGCTTCAGGTGTATTTGATCATATATTTCTGAAAAGTACAATCATATTTAAAATATATTTTATAGTTATGAACTAGAACCACTTCTATAAATATGAAACTTCATTAGCTAACACCCATCCCAAGCAACCACAAGAAAACCATCAAGAAAATTGACGAGATTGATTAGTAAGCCTAATAGAGGTAACTAGAGAAACCACAGTTGTTCAAAACATAGTAGTACAAATATTTTATGCTTGAATTCTATAGTTTGTTATAATTGAGTCAGACATAACCAATAGGTTATAGAATCTCATTTAGTCATTTCCCAGTAAATAATTTATACTATGTACAAATAAACTGAAAAAAATATAGACCTTTCTACTATTATTCTAACATTATCAATAAGGTTTAAAACATGAGAAAATATTGAAAATAATCCTTAGATTTATCTCATTTAGGTAACTTTGAGATAAAGCAATTACTCTAAATTTATATGAATATCCTAATGTTTTACCTATTGATATAAATAACATTTTTAGCTCTCTAGAATATCCTTAGAATTTCAGGCAAGAATGCAATTTCTGAAAAGTCTTTAAATAAAGCCTTTAGTTTTTTGTTTGTTTGTTTGTTTGTTTTTGAGAGGTTTTTGTTACAGGGCATGTGTGCTCCCCAGAGAGAAACAGAGAGACAGAAAATGAGAAATCACCTCCCACAGGGGATGGCCACGCCGCAATCCCTTCTCCTCCATTTTCTTCTTGGGATCTTGGGCATGTAAGCCCACACACCCAGTGTGAGTTTAAGACATGAGGTCCAAACCTTGCACCATAGTCGATTACATGGGAGTCTAGCGACATAGCCATTACAACTGCTAGTCCCAAGCCTTTAGCTTTTTAAATCCATAACTCAATTTGAGTTTCATTGCATATTTCAAACAAAATGCATTTTAGTTCACCAAAATGTGCTTCTAGAATTAACTTAATGGTTTTTAATTACCTGAACTATCTTGTATAAACTCCAGTTCTTTTAACAATGATTAAGAAGTTTTCTTTGAGCTAATATCATCTACAGCAGTGATTTCCGAATTTTCCACAAGTACATCTTTCTTTATCAAAATGGTATTTGGTGTGCTTAGTAATTCTCTTATTCTGGCTTAATTGTTTTCTTGCAACTTGTTCTCCCTACCAGGCCATAAACTCTTTCATTATAAACTCTGTGGATCACATATAATTATCATGTGTGGGTTCGTGTGCATCTGCACTTTGAAAAATAAGATGTCAAGAATATGTAACACAATAAAAAAAGAAATTGAAGAAATGAAGGCATATCCATAGAAATTAGGAAAACAAAAGTGAAGACTGGATTAAATACTGATGTTGAAGTTTTTCTTGCCCTTTGCTTACTGAAGGAAGAAAAGTATAAGTAGAGAGTCCCAGAAATTGGTATAAATTGTAATAAAAATATTATTTAATATTTTCAAAAATGGTCTGAGAGAGAGAGCATACAAAACCATAAATCTGAATAATGCCTGACATATATGGGTGATGAAATCTCAAATAACATAAACCTAGATGTGAGAAGAACATTTCTTCCAAGCCTTGATGAGAAAGACCCAGAAGTCTTTTTGTAAAAATATTTAACATCTTCATTTTATTTCATTTTTATTTACATTTGACCATTGTACATCTTTATAGTGTACAACATGTTTTTTCCCAGCATGAATACAGTACATAGTCACGTCAAAAACATTACCATATATATTATCATCAACAGATAATTTCATTTTTGTGTCTATTAAATTTGTTGTTTGTTTCTTAGATCCAGTATTCTTAAACTGTATCTACAGGTATGCCTGCATTTATACAAAAACAATACCAACACTTTGTGCAAATCAATCAACCCAGACTTGCTGCTGTCAAAAACTTGTCACAGACAAAGAAAGTCCTTTATTATCATAGCTCCATAGACTAATGTAGCCCATATCCTGTAACAAACTATGAGCTTTGTGGGAAAATATTGAACTCAAATAAAAAACAGAACGTTTTGCAATACCCAAATATCTACTCCATTCTCTCAATTTGCATTCTTACACTCACCCTAAGTTGTCTAAACCCTCTCTAACTCATTTACATTTTTCCTTGTCTTTGCATCTTCTCTGCAACCTCATCTAATTCCTCTATCTAGACAAACTCTTACTTTTGGTTAAAAAAATTCCACCTGGTTGCTGCAGGCCCTAACAGCCAGGAGGACTTGGCTCATCCCTTCCCTACTTGCCTTTGGACCACAGGTTTGTGTCTGGGGACTTTAAGATGAACTTGAGCCCCTCTCCACCCCATCGGAGACCTGTCAAGTGGCATTGCCAGCCACCAGGCTGCCTGTGGCTGCAGGCCCTACTGGTCAGTACCTGTGGCTCATTCCCCTACACTCTCCTTTGGACCTCAATGGGAAGAGATTGGTGAGGTTGATGAAAACTGTGTCCCTATCCACACATATCAAGTATGCAAAGTTATGGAATAGAATCAGAATTCAGCAAGAAGACATAATGCTTATTAATATATATGCACCAAACACAGGAGCACCTAACTATGTGAAGAAAAGGCTGCTAGAGTTAAAAAAAAAAAAAGACAGGGGGCAATACTATTGGATCTCAACACCCCATTTTCTCCTTTAGACAGATCTTCTAGACAAAAAATAGATAGAGAGATACAGGACCTAAATTATACTATAAATCAAATGGACTTGATAGATATCTATATAAATTTCCATCCTAAGATAACAAAATATACATTTTTCTCATCCTGGCATGGAACCTTTTCAAAGGTTGACCATATGATAGGACAAAAATCAAGCCTTCACAGATTCAAAGGCATAGAAACTATATCCAGCATCTTCTCTGACCATGATAAAATTAAACTAAATATCAATTTCAAGAAACACTCTAAAAATACACAAACACATGGAAACTGAACAACCTATTTCTGAATGACTTCTTAACTACTGAAGAAATTAAGTCTGAAACAAAAAAAAATGTATGGAAACAATGATAATGAGTACACAAGTTTCCATAATCTATGGGATATGGCAAAAGCAGTCATAAGAAAGAAATTCATAGCAATTAATGCACATAAGAAAAAGATGGAGGGAACCAGCAGTTAGCGTAATGGCTATGTCGCTGGACTCCCATGTAGTCGAC